GCCCGGTTGCCAAATGTTCCTTGATGAATGCGTCAAGCTCTTTCTGTTCCTCTCCTGATAGGGGAATGCAGCGCCCTTTGACGGGTTCGGCGTCTGGGTGTAGTTCAATGGCATGGTCCCACTTCCTCCGTTCTGGGAGTTTGTCGAAGTCCTGTTTTTCGAAGACCTCTTTGAATTCCTCAAGATAGTGCGCGCGGGTACGCTCTCCTCGGTGGTTCAGGGCTTCTCGGCAGCGTAGGCGGTGGCGGCCAGTTTGGTGGCCACGCTCTGTATGGCCCGGATGTGGGCGGGCGCGTTCGAACCTTCGTCGTATATCCGCGTGACGAAGAGGCGATCCCCTTTGCCCAGGGGTTCGTTATCCTCTTCGTCCCATTGTTCCAGCAATCGGGCCCGCTTGCACTCGGGTGGGCATCGGGTGAAGGCGATCGCCCCTTCACGCCAGTCGATCACGGGATTGTGCTTCTTGAGCCAGTGATGCCCGATGATCACGTCACTGTTCCCGGTGTCCGTGATGGCGAACGTCAGAAGTTCGGAGTGATCCTGAATGGTGACTCGTAAGCGGGTAATGTGGGTGATTGCCCCGTCGGCGTTGATCGTCCCGTCGGCGTTGTACACTGGGACTGGGTGCGGTAGGGCTTCGAGTTCCAGTTGCGAGTCCTCCGCGAACCACTTGTGCATGAACTCGGAGGTGGCGCCACTGTCAAGGAGGGCGTCAACCGAGTACCCGCGGAGGTCGTTGACCCCTTGGAGGGTGACGGCTACCCGCGTAGCCGTGGTGCCTTCACTTTTCCGAAAGGGGGGAGCATTTTGCAGTTGTCGCAAAGCTTCGGCTACGTCGGGGCGTACCCCGTTCGTATGAACTCTTCTAGTTCGGGCCCGTTCTCGGCTCGTCGGGCCGGATGTATCCACTGTTGTAGTTTCGAACGAGCCTTCTCGGGCTGATCTCGAATTTGCGCGACAAGCCTCTCGGCGCTGGCCGCGGGCCAACTTTTCCAAGCGGGCCTCGGAGTCTCTCGTATGGTTTTATGCGGGTTTTTTCTGCGGGTGGAAACGGTGGGTTGCGGGGTTTGTTGTTCGGGGTTGGTTTCTACGTCTGGTCCCACGTATCTCTGGATTGGCAACACGGAATATCGATTATGCGGGTTGTAACTAGAGACACTTGTGGTATACGTCGGCGAGGGCGTAGGCTTCACTCGCGACGATCGCCAAAATCTGCTTTATCCGCGTTATCTTTGACAAACTCGGAGAAGATAGCCCGGATCTGGTTTGCCGATGCGGCCCGGTTCGGGCACATCCGACTGATGTGTCCTTCCTGGCCGCAGTTGTAGCAGCGAGTGCTGCGGGCCGTAGCGGGGGCCTGGGCCTGGTCGATCTCCATAGGCGCGGGCCCCGTCGAGGGTCTGGCGACCGTGGTTGCCCCGTTTCCTCGAGGTGCGGCCACGGTTGGTCCAGTGGCGCTGATCGCTGCGTTTCGGGCCCAACCGTTGAACGGATTGCGGTTGCTGAGCCCGCTCTTGGCGGGGGCGGGCGCCGTCGGGGGCGTTTTGGCCCGAGGGTGGTTAACCTTGTGGCTTTCGTCGAAAATGCGGTAGCGGCGGAGTGTGCCGTCTTGCTTGATGGCCTCTGCCTTCCAGGCCTCGTAGGTGTCAGGGAGCGTGTCCTTTCGGTAGACCGCGTTTGTAACACCCCGGAGCATACAGTTCTTGGCGACGCGAATAAGGTTAACGTCGTCGTAGTGTGCGACTTTGTTGAGAGAGTCGAGGACCGTGAAATAACTAGTCGCGTCCATGTCTTTGGTCTGGACGAAGGTTTCCATCTTCTGCTGCGCGATTTCGGCGTGAGCTTCCCCGCGGAAGGCCGCGATGAAGGCTTTTTCGAAGCCTTCGTACGTAGTATAGGCTGCGGCGGTACGGAGCTTCATGGCCTGGGAGACGTTTTCTTTCCACGTGACCGCGTTCCCGCCTTTGATATAGGAGAGTGCGTACGAAATCTTTCGCACCTCGTCGTTGTAAACATTCGGGTTGGCTTCGAAGGCCAACCAACAATCGGCCAGGAAGGCGTCTACTTCGCTGGCGTCGCCCGTAAACTCCTTAGGGGGAGAGACGGTCACTCGTGTATTTCCCCCGTGGGGCCGATGAGCCAAGTCCTCTCTGGCTTGGCGGAGCAGATCGTAGCTCTGCATGACTCCCTGCTGTACAGCTGCGTATTCCCCGTTTACTCGGGACAGCTCGGCCTCGAGGACCACTTGTCGATTCGTCAGGGCGGTGTTTTCCGCCTTGAGTTGCTCCATCTCCTGACTCGTTCGGAGCAGATGGGCGAACAGGAACTCCTGTTGTTCGTTATGGCCCAGGGCCATGAATCGGGCACGTTCGTCCCCCCTGGCTTGCGGGGGTGCCCATCGTACTGTCGTGCTCGGTAGACATTCGTCGCGCTTCTTGCGTTCGTGGGGGGAGGCTAATATTCTGTCAACGTCGGGCTCGGGCCGTATCGGGCGTCGGGGGAACCGACTTGAAGGGGTCTGGGAGCACGAGAGATGGGTATTCGCCCGGAGAATAGACGATATTAGCCTAGCGACTACATCTTGTAAGTACGGTTTTTATATGCTACGATATTAGGGATGGATCGGATGGGCGCCAGGTCCCAGGGCGGATCGGATGGGCGCTGCGTAGGGCCGCAGGGGTGAAGGGAAGGGGTTGAAGGAATGGGGGATTGTCGAAGGGGCGGCGGTATGCGGGCCCATGCGGGCCCGTTCGGGCCCATGCGGGCCCGTTCGGGCCCGTGCGGGCCTTATGGCCCGGACGGCCCGACCCGAACCGTGACACACACCCAGGATCGCTCGCTCTCTCTCTCTCGCGATATAAGTACTAGTAGGTCAATGTCAAAATGATTTATTCTACTTGATGGACAAGGTACTTGTAGTTTTAAGGCAATGTAGTAACTTTACCTTCATGGCTTGAAGAATCAAAAAGTTGGCCACCCGGGGAAGGCCTTGGATAAGGAGCCGCTCGGCGCCTGTGGGGGGTGAGCATCGAGCCGCTCGGCGAGAAGGACGGTAATCAACCTTTTCCGACGCCATATATAGCTGTGGGGTAGAGACCGTAAACGATCCGACAGCGTCACGGTCGTCGTGTGCCGCCGCGGTGCGCAGACAGTCTACAGCATCAACGGCGTCGCCATTGCCAATATCATAAGTGATGTTCAAGAAAACATCTGGCTGCACCCGCAGCTCCGTTACGGAGTCCTGGGCCGATGAAGCAGAGCCATTGCTTGAGCCATATCGCTGTTTGAGCTCGGCGGCCAGTGGATACAGCGGCAAATCGTCCAAGCACACGTGGATGTTGAGGCTGCCTAGCTGCGGTAGAGCCTTCCGGTCCTGATGTGGGCTGATCGCGGTTTCCAAGACAAGACGCGCGAGGTCCGCGGTAGCTTGTAATACCTCGAGCTTCTCCAGGGCGCGTGCGCTGAAGAGGATCCGGAGGTACTTTATCCCGTTATCACTCCCCCCGAGTTGCAGCACCAGATGTTTGAGCGCACAGTTTGAGCGTTTGAGAAGCCTGGTGAGGGCATCGTCAACATGATCGTTGAGGCCATACACGCGGAGATACGCGAGGGCCGGCAGCTCAAGCCCTTCCGTCCAATTTTCAAAGGTTCTCCCTTCGTAAAAGTTATAGTGAAGCTCGAGAGTGTGGAGGTGGGCCAAGGACACATGGAGGTTCCCCACATCTGCCTCACTGTCATAGTTTATATGCACGGTAAGTGCCGTCAGGTTCGGCATGATGAGCAACAACTCTTGCACCTGGGGGTGATCGACGGACGATAGCGAAAGGTGGGTAATTTGTGTCCACGGAAGCTCGATTTCCCACGAATAGACGGCGATGAGTTCGAGCTCGCGCAGCGCCGGTGTGTCCGCGAAGAGGGTCAGGCAGCTGGATATTGGATAATTGCCGTCCAACTTCAAGCATTGCAGTGCCTGCAGACCGCCTCGTAGCCCCTCAAAGACAGGGTTGGATAGGAGGGGCTCAACGCAGCCCGTGTACCGCGCCCATCTCCCTATCACAGATCCTTCGGTCAGCATTTCGAGTAGGGGGACCTGGTTTTGCATGCCACCAAATTCGCCGCGGGTCGAGGCCACGTGAATATCGAGCGGCAAGCCACGCGACCGGTCAAGCCATATCTGCAAGAGCTGCCGCGCAGTGTCGATGGTACTGCGTTGCGACCGCCGCGGCGGCACCGTGATGCCAGTCCAAAGCGACGGGAGACCAACGGCAACCGTACGCCACCGCTGGCAGATGGCGGCGAGCGCCAATGGCGGGCAACTTGCTGAGGTTAGCTTCCAATAGTCCTCTCTCCATGGTCTGGCAGCGCAGTATAGAAATATCTCCCCCAGAAGTTCGGCTGGGAGGTCGACTACCGCTGGGTATTTGACCGCACAGAGCGCTGTGACCAGTTGTCGTCGGGTGCCGAGCAACGCCGTCAGTTGCTCCCGCAAGTCGTCAATCCGCGCTTCGACATCTGTTAGCTGTTGACGCAGTTCGGGAGTTGTTGGTGCTGGTATACTAGTAGGCAACGGTGTTGTCGTAGACATGGCCGCCGAAAGGAGGGGAAGTAACGCATGTGACATTTTTCCTTTGAAGTTTGAATTTCAATTCCTCGATAAGCCCTTGGTTCGACGCTCAGGCTGGTGTCGGCCCAATTATAACTTAGACAAGCTGACTTACCAAATCTATCATCTGGAAGTTGAAATGTGGTGCACAGACCAATGTGCCTTAAAAACCTACACAAGGTGGGATGGATTCTCATCAGTCCGACGTGATGTCATGCCATGTGATGTGACCCAACGTTCCTGGGACCTCTCCCACGTCTTCTCATCTCTCCTTCCACGGTCTAGCTTCCCAAATCTTACGCACCTGATGCACGCCATTCCATCTATCATGATCGGATCTATAGAATACTTACCCCTCCCCGCGTCTACTTCCTCCCCCTAGTGTCCTCACTTTTTTATGGCTGCAGTTCAAGAGCATATACACTATGCGCTCCCTGTCAGTCTTCCCTGCACATACATTCGTTTGCGCTGATACTTTCAGTCCGTGGCAGATTCACCATCTGAAATCGAAAGGTGCGCCGCATTTCTGCGCTCTTCTCAGGCTCTCTTCTCTCTTCTCTCTACTCGACTTACTCGCTTGCTTACTCGTATTCCAAGGCTGGACATGATGCACATCGCGATCCGCGGGTACATGCATGGTCGGCTCTCTTTTGCGCCGCTGGAAGAAATGGACGCACCCCCACAACGAATCTTGGAGCTCGGGTGTGGGAGCGGTGCCTGGTGTGTCTATCGCCGCTTCAAGTTTACAGCAACGGCCTAACTTCATATATCGCAGGGCTATCCAAGCAGCGGAAGAGCTTCCCGCGGCACATGTCGTCGCTGTCGACCTCTCGCCGTTTCCCGACCGTCCCGTGCCATCCAACTTCGAGTTCATCCAGCTTGACATCACGAAGGAGCTCCCATTCAATCCTCACTCGTTTGACATCGTTCATTCGCGTTTCGTCTTTGGCCACGTCCGCTGTTCTTAATGCTGCCCGGTCGTCGTCTCAGCTGTCTTTTCAGGTCGCCAAGCCGCGCGAAACTCTCGCCCGCATTGCATCGCTCGTTGCCCCGCGTGGGTTCTTGCTTCTCGAGGACTTCGACAGCGAAAGCCTACTGTGGACGTCCCCACCAGCCGCCGCACGCTTCACCGAGCTCTATGTCGCGATGTACCGCGAGCACGACCAGGAGCCAGATATAGGCCGCAATCTGAAGCAAATCATGGAAAATCTAGACGGGTTTGGTAGCCCGGCTCACGAACACAAGGCAGCCGTGCCCCTGGGTGTCCAACTCGATGATTACAGTGTGTTTCTCCATTTCAATTTTTGTCGCATTCCGACGCTTTACAGACGACGCAATGCGCGCGTTTGCCCGCGGCATGCGCAACACCGATATCCATGCGGCAGGGCTGCTCATTGCCCGCCAGGGTGGTAACTACGGTTTCACGGACGATGTATTGGAGGCATATCTCTCCGCCGTCAACACAGCTGACTATGCTGCGATATTCGATGTTTATTTTTGTTGGGCTCGGCGTACCGCACTGTGATGAAGAGGGTCTCATATATATCGTACTCAAATGAACGGCTCCCGGGCCGTGTCATTCTACCCAAAATGGAGGGTCTTGTTGACATGGCTGCGATTTGGCTCATTTGAGAACAATTAGACTTATGTACACCTTAGAAGACGTTCTGGCTCGAGCATAGCACACTGTCTTTACAGATCACAAAGCTCTATTTCGACTACAATACAGGTAAGGAGCAGCAGATAATGTACATTACGTTAACATTGTTCAGAGCAAGAGCGACGACTGGGATAGCAAAGGTCCGACAGCAATGAAGCAAGTAGAAAGCAAGGGGAAGCGAATGGGGCGGAAAAGGTCAAGGGCGAATTCAACCATCGCTATTAGATGCGTCTTCGGACGATGAAACGCTCGAATTCATTCTGCGATGGCGTGCCTCGAAGAGCGGGGACGCGTAGCCAGAAATTCTCGAAGGGGCGGGTCCACGGTCCTGGGGGTGCCGCCTGAGCAGCGGCATCGTTCAAGTCGACGTTGGCGCTATACCACGCACGATCGCTTTGGACGAATACCGCATGTCCGGCAGAGACCGACCGGCGGAGCGCGTTGAGCACGAGATCGGCGCTGAGGTTAAAGCCCGGTTCGGGTAGTGGCGCGTACACGTCCTGGGGTGGGCGGGGGTAAATGAACGTAGCAAGACCTTGTCCATCTAATCAAAGGCGCGTCAATTGCCGGATTTGGAACAAGGGATGAATGGACTAACAGAATTTGACGGTCCACCGAAGCATTGTGGGATTTGACGCGTCATATTCTAGGGTGCCACTGGCTGCCATAAGCCCCGAAGATGAATGCACGACGAGGTCGATCGGATAAGCGGTGTGGTGGAACGGGAACGTCCAGGGTAGACTAATGTCGCCCTCTTGAGCAAACAGATTGGAGAGGAGATCTGCCTGGCGCTGGTAGAGCCAATCATGCAACGCTTTCCGGAGTGGCTTCTTGATGGAGGGATGTTGGGCCAGGTCGAGACTGTCAGGGAGGACTTGGAAGGAGAGGGAAGGAGACGTTGGCACGGCGCTGTTTGTTGCTTGCATGCACCGACATCGTTATCCCCCGCCATTCCCGTTCTTAAATATGACCTTGAAAGTTGCGCTATGACCCTGCCCACATCGCCATCAACGTCCTCCGGCCTGCCTGACTCGTGTGTAAGAGTCTCACCTTTCAGAATGTTCGAAAAATGGAAGGGATGATTGATAGAGTGCGCTTTGAAAGGATCCACCAAGGTCTTGACGAAAAGGAGAGCAGTTGGCCGGTAGTTGCGCTGTTTTGGGGCAGAAAGAGCGCAGAATCGGGGGCGAATCAACACATGCTGTGTGAATGGCTTCTCAGAGGTCCATGGAGCAACACAAATCAGTACGGCACGGCGCTCATGCTGCCATAATGCCCCAACGGGTCCAGTGTATTAGTAGTGTGTTAGCCACGCAAATCGTCGAGGGAGCCTCTATTGAGTCCATTCGGTGGTATATTGAGACTAGCGGGGCTTAGATGGACAAGCCAGGAGGCCTTGAGAGCACTTTGCGATTTGCCAATGGCGCGAGGACAGGGCGAAGATGCCAGTGCTTGACGACCAGCCTTTGTACCCAAAGCAGCAATCTCCGCACTGACGAGTTATCGCGGGTGCAGACCTTGTGGGATATTGACGTCCATATGAGGACGAGACAAGAGCGCATTTACAGCATAACTTCAGCTCAATGTCCATGGCACACCGGCGGTGCATTGAATGCACAATGGATAGTCTTGATTCTTGAACTTGAATTGCATTTGCTGACACCAAAGGACCGGGCGGGGCAGGACTCAGAGAACCTCGGCGGAGACTGACTTGACTAGATGTGGGTTTTGCAGCCAGGGAGGCGCAACCGCACGGCGTCATTTGGGAGGAAGAAAAGATGTGGCGGCTGACGAATGCTGTGCAATGATAGTATCAATGATTGATTGGCAGTTTTTTACTCTGAGGGTGCCCATTGTCCTCCGACCCGGAGTCACGACTCAGCGCTCATATTGCAGCCTCGCAGAGGTTCCCTTTGTTGGCGACCAATTGTGCGCCATGTGTGGGCGGAGGAGGTAAGGCCCGACATGACGTGATTGACAGCCTGGGTGCGGATAACCTGTTTTATTTTGCTTTTGACGACTTGTTTGACGACCACCACGACAACCAACGATACGGCAAAGCCCAATCCGTTGCGGGGCACTCGTCCTAGCGGAGTGCCCGCCAGAGGACGACCCTTTTACCAGTACGCTGCACATCCTGGCTCAGCGGTCCGGGGGACTAGTCGATGAAAGGGATCTACGCTTCTCGCCCGCGAGATCGATACGTGGACAAAGGGCCCGCGATGCGGTGCCTCAACACGCTTTGGCACTGACGGGGTGCTGGTATAGAGGGAGCCTCTTTGTGTTTGGCACATAAGTACCGCACTCGCGCTGGCAGCGACTCTCCTTCCCCGCGCTATGCCCTCCCTCACGCAAACAGCTCTCTGGCTCTTCGTCTTCGCCTGGCACACGGCGATCGCTGTCGCAGCCAGGGTTCCGGCGAACGTCTCTGTTGGCTTGCATGACACGCGGCTCGCGTTTACGGGGACGTGGACTGTAAAGGATGGGTTGGCGACAAGTCTAGACCAAAATGCGAAAGTTGTGTTAAGCTTTCATGGTGTGCCTCCCGATTACTACTGACCCGAGGCTCATCAAGTCCAGGAATCGCGGCGTACATATCATTCCCCAAGGGCTTCCACAGTAAGCTCGCCATACAGGTCGGGCTCGACGACAAGCCCCTGGTATCCGTGGTCGGAGAAGCTCAACTCGCATGGGGTCGACTAGAAGAGGGTAACCACACTGTGGTGCTCAGCAGACTGCTCGACGGCGACAACAACAGTATCATGGCGCTGGGGTCTTTTCTGTGCGTTGTTATTTCTTTCTTTTCTCTTTACTCATATATCCTACAGCATCACAACACTCATCAACCCCCCTCCACCCGCAGTACACGCGGCCTACTACGATTCCTCCCTTCCCTCGTCTGCCTCCCCTTCACCCTCACCCTCTCCTGCCACTGCAGCACCCATCAACATCCTCCCCATCCTCACCAAATGCATCGCTGGCGCATTCGTGCTCGCTGGTTGCACCTTGCTGTGCTACTGGGTGAACACACGCAAGTTGCGTGCGCGGGCGAAGGAGCGGGCCGAGGTGGGCCGGCGTCGCCAGGCCGAGCGCGCGGCGGTCCGGGAGATCCGCGGCATGATGCTGGCCGCAGCCGCGGGCATGCCCGTTGTCGAGACAGTTCCAGCGGGGCGGCGCGGATCGGACGGGTCGGAGGTGACCGTTATCGAGCCTGCGGTGCTCTCGGAGCCGAAAAACCCGGTCGAGCGGTCGGTTCCGACAAAGCCAGCACCGGCGATGAAGCGGGCGGGCAGTATCACGCCGCCGAAGCGAGTGCGGTGGGCCTGGGAGGGCCCGGATTCCATTAGCGACGAAGAAGAGGGCGACGTTGTCGTTGTGCAGCGCGTGCAACCACCCGCGCCGGTGCTACTGGGCCCCGTTCCGGATGAAAGGGTTGTCTGAGTGTCCGTGGAGCGTGCGGACAACGGAGTGTGACACTGTTTATGCCAAGAACACATTATCTTTGCAAGACAAAAGTTATTTACCACAAAATATGAGACTACTAGGTATCTTTTTAAGAAATTTGGCGCCAAAGAAATTACAGCAAGTGTTTTATTCTTCAAGCTGATTTGTGAGTTGGGGGTAGAAATGATTGAACAGGCTTGCTGTCAGTCATGGCGCGAGAATTATGTGGTATATCCGCTGGAAGGCTGCTCGCACGCTTTGCTGGTGGGTCTTCAACATGAATTGAGTGCTCTGCTGAAGCCGGATCAGGACTAGCGCGCGAGCTTTGGCGACTCGGAGCGAGCTTTTCTGCCAGTGACTCTGCCACAATGGGGGCGGCCTCCGAGTCCGCTGTCCCCTGGTCCCGCTTCTTGCGCATAAACCACGTCTCCGCAAGTAACAGGAAAACTGTCCATCCAGTGCTGAACATCGTATATGTCCCAGCAACCACGGCGACTAGGACACTTCCTGGTTTCATCAGCTGTCGGCGTTGACAGAGGTATACCCCATCGAGCACCGCCGGTCCGGGGAGCGGGAGCGGTAGCAGTGTTGGCGTATTTACAAAGGCTGAATCGCCCTGACTTTGCGCATAGTACCCGTCGCCGACGAGGGTCGAGTACAAAAAGGACTCGTTTTGCAAAACGAATGCCGCTCCGGGCAATTGTGGTATGGGGAAAGAGCGGAAGACGGCGCGCGGCACAAGGCTGGGGTCAAGCAGGAAGTTCCCTGGCGACGGGTTCCCAAGGTCCACACGGAGCGCCGCCCAAAGGGATTGGACAGTATTCGAAGCCAAGTGGGCAAAGCCAAAGGTATCGTTTGCCAGGTCAAGCAGCGGCTGGTTGAAGCCGCCTATCGGCCTGCTTGCGGTATATGTGCTGACGCGTCCGTTGCTCCCTGATCCTGTGATCTGGGTAGTCCGTGTGATGTTCAGCGCGGGCGGGTTGGTGCTGGAACAGCTCGAATTGACGTGGATTGCGGATGCGGGGCAGTACGGGAACTCTGCCGCGAATGAGAGCACCTCCGGTGCCGTGAAATTGCTCAAGCCAAAGATGTTCAGGGCCCAGACCGCCCAATCGTTCCCGGCAGTTACGACCATGGCGCCCAGCACGTATTCGCGTGCCTGCCCAGGCGTTGGGCTCGCGGATTTCGCACCTAAGATGGAGGTGTATTTCCCAACGAGAGCGGACTGGCTCCAATCCGCGCGCAGGGTGTAGCTCGAGTTCTTGTCCCCAGTGGCAAAACAGGTCACGATGGCGGTGAAATCGCTCGTGAGTGTCTGCCCGACGATGTTCACGTACAACGCCGTCACGTCGCAGTCGTCCAGCGTCCACCCCGTGTATGCGAGCCCAGAATCACCGGCATTCGGGGTGTCAATGGCAGCAACAGTATACTGGAAGAGAGAGTAGTTTGTTGCGACAGTATCGCCAAGCCCGATGAGTCGCGCCGCGCAAAGGCTGCCCGGTGCGCCGTCGCTCCGCGCAAAAGACGGCAGCAGGCGGTCGTACCAGAAGTGGTCGGTGATGTTGAAATCGGACGAGAAAACGGAGACCGTCTCGTATCCCACCAGAGCAACTTGGTTGCATCAGAAACTATAAGACAGCTGGCAAAGGTTTACGACGCACCATTGATGACGACTAGAAATGCAAGGACGATTGTGGACCCGATATATGCAGCAAGGGCGTAGGAGGCAGGGAATTCTCTCGTTACTGGATAGCTGAGGGTGGGACGGGGAAGTCGCATGAGTTTGAGGAGTGCGTGAAGAAATGAGCGCGAGTGGATTCGTGGGACCAGGGTATGTGCATGAGTATGAAGTTCCCACGAGGATCACTGCGGTTCTCATGAACGTACGCCAGCGTCGACGTCATTTCAATGGGATACCGCCCCCGAGAGCCGCGATGCCGAGCAGCAGCAGGGGATCGTATCGGCCGTCGCAGAAGGAGTCGTGAGAGAGAGGATCACTGGCAATCAGTGCCACGCAATGCATCAAAGATTCAATATCATCACGTGCAGCAACGACGCGGTCCCGTGATTTGACTCAGTTGCACTGCCAGCGATGGGCAAGACCGATTACAAGTATATTTTGTCGCGAATGTGGCAGCAATTTTCACACTCGGTGTCCGCATTACGACTGGCCGCCTGGTATGCGATTATGAATTAAATAATCAAGCTCCGAGTCAATCATCCAACAGTCTCACCTCCACCATTCCCGCCGCCCTCAAGTTATCCTCCGTCGGAGTCGCGACGCGCTCCAGCTCCAGGCCAGCGAGCTGTGGATTGTTGCGGAACAGCCAGACGATTTGGAGAATGTTGAGGGTCGTGATGCCCCCGCCACGTGAGCTGCCCGACTGTGAATTGTGCCATACAAGCTTGAACGCGATAACGAGTGAGACCAGCGACGCCAACAGCCCCGCAAAAACCTGGAATAATTGAATGGAATGACGCGATATGATGATAGACATACCGCGATAAGATTGAGCTACGATGGAACTTGGAGTTACACATTACATCAGGATATACCGTGGTTACAACGCACCTCGACCCTTGCCGCCAGTCTATTCATCTCGACCGTGACGGTCTTCCGTTGGAGTACAGGCGCCTTGCTGTTCTTGAACGTCGAGCGGGACGGGCTCGTATCGTCGGTGAACTGGTACTTGGACTCGAGCCGGGGAAGTTCGATGTGTCCGGCTGTGACATCAGCATGATGCGCGCGTGCCAGATCAGATGGACTCACCGACCCAGAAGAAAGACGCAGCGAAATCGGCCAAAGCGTTCTCGAGATTGTGGAGCTGCACCGTCTGGATGGGAGAGGACGCCGTATTGTTCGTCTTGAGCCACGACGGGTTGAGCTTGAGCTTATCCATAACGAATCTGGAGGAACCGTCAGTGGACTTCGCCCCCTTTTCCCAAAACGATGCGCACAGGTCCATAAGAGAGAGTGTGTCGAACTCATCAGGCACAAGCGTCAGCGGAACGAAGCTCCCCAGACCCCCTAGCGGCCACTGTCATCGCGGGATGTTAATGTGAGGTCTATTCCCAAAAACGATAGCGCAGCTCACCAGCCCGCTCTCCAATGGTCCTCTAGGATCTGTGACCCGCTCGGTCACTGAAATCCCCGGAGCAGGATCAGAATACGCGCTCCATTTAGAGCTTGTTTTGCGGACACTTGGCGTGAGACTGGTGGAATTTAGCAGCCTCGTTATCGTGTCAACGGTGACCTCTTGGTTCACCAGTGAGCGCGAGCACCGGATGAGCTGGAGGGAAGGAACAGTCCCGTTGCCATCGAGTGAGCCAGGCGCAAATTTGACGGAAGGCCCTGAATTTCCAAAGGAGTCCACGACGCTGGCGGTGGTATATAGGATCAAGGAAGGCCACACATACGCGGAGCGCACGCCGGTCTGTTCACTGAACGTGCCAGGCACCATTGGAAACGACGTTAAGATGTTTGGTCCTGACCGAATGTTCATATGCCATATAGAAACAACGACAGAGCACGCACCCGACGGTGGAGGCAAGAACCAAATGCTTTCCCCATTCTCGACCTTCACGGAGAGATTCCAGGAGATGTTCGGTCGGTCGCGCAAAGCAACTTTCGTCGAAGTAACTTCCTCTGGGAAGCCGCAAGTGACATTGAATGCCGTGGCCGTGACCTCAACAAACCTAGACGGGTTTGTTACCGTCGAAATACCCTCCTCGAGGACGTCGTAGAGGGTGTTCTCCCACAATCCGACCATAGAGTCGTTGAGAGTGTCCCGCCAAACCATGAACTGGCCAATATCCTTCAAGAATTCGGCGCTCCCGCTACAGAAATGAGAAAATTTACTCTAGACAGAACATGCACGCACTTATTCGCATTGTCTTCGGAGGCCCACAACGGTTGGCCCAACGTCGTGACCGGAATAATCGTTGTCTGGTTGAAGGCTTGCACGGATAACATTGAAGGGATCGTGACATGCAACAGCGCCAGTACCCCGAGATACAAAAGAACCGCAAGTGTCCCGTTTATGGCCGTGGGAAGAGTAAATTGATTGAGGATAGCTGCAAGCGCTGCGCCGAGTCCGTTCCACGAGGATACTTGATCATGCGTGGCCGAGAGTGGCTGTCGGATGTCGAGCAGTCGCTTTAACGCAGCACGTTGGGTTAGGAAGAGCACGAATGCGAGATAGAGCTATGAAAATGTCAAATAGAATGTTGAATTCAGCGTGAAGACGCACTGTGCCAAGGCCAGTGGAAATAATTGTAACCCACAAAGACATAGATCTCTGCCTAGCCAATGGATAAGTTATCCGATGCTCCGCATGGTGATTCAACAAGACGCCAAGAAGAATCGCATGCACCAAAATCAGCACGACATGGAGCGCGAGGCAGATGAGCTGGTCGGTGCGTGAGTACAGAGGTTTTCGTCGATCTATGCAATATTGAATAGGGAAGATAAGAAAGCACGAGAAGCGTTTACTCACCGGCAGCTGGTCCGGGTTCCTTTGGGAAGTCTCGTAAAGCTTCGCCTTCTTTGTCTTGGGCAAGCTTGACGCTGACCATTGCCGCGCGACGTAGTCGTTCGTTGCTCGGCTTGTGAATCTGGACGAGCTTTTCATGCAGCCCGGCATGCTGTTCTGCCAGCCACATCGTCTGCAGGAGGCCAGGAGCGTTGATCGCCCTTTGTAGGACAGATTCCTCGTTCGTTCGCAGGGCGTATCGCAATGCTAGCGCACAAACTAAGGCAGAAGCGGCAAGACCAATTGAAACCTGTAGATTATTAGGGACGACAAAGCCAAGGTGAAGGAAGATGTACGGCGATTATATTAAGCTACAGGCTTGTTATTTTTACCCAGATTTGAGCGGTACACACACCTCCAATCGTGCTTGAAGCACATAGGCCTTTGCGGTGCCTGCGCCAGTCTGTAAAGTGGGTAAAAGCATGTCGGCACGAGTCGGGCCAACGGTCGTGACTGAGCTGAGCGCCATTTGTAAAGGGTCTGCGGTGATGTGGCCCACTGAAAAACTTGAAGTCAGCTGTGTCATGCTCCACGTATCGATGGACACTGACTCATCCAGAAAATCGTTGCCACGAGCTCAGAGAGCGCATTCTCTATCTCGTGGAGATAAATCGGTCGGACGCTGTTGATAGCATCGCTGCGCGTATTGTTTCCGGTAAGAAGCCAGGTTGGCTCGAGGTTGAGGCGTTCCATCAGGAATCTGGAGTGGTACATGAAAAAACGAGGCAGAGAGCGAGGACCCCTACAATGAAGCTGTAGACAATCCACTCGAAGCAGGGCTTACTCCAAGTGGAACCGACGAGTCCGGAGTCCCATCCATCAGGCTGGCCCACTGGATAAAGGAACTCAGTATGAGGGCCGTCGTTCAATCTCGACGGCATACCGCATCGCTCTCTACCAAGCTTGTGACATTGTTGAAGACATCATAGATGGGTCGCGAGAGCGACCATACGTCCGTATAAGGGCGCCATGTGGAGCGCGTCTTGTGTATACTTGGATTCAAGGATTGGGAATCGATTTGATTGTCTTGCAGTGAAATGCTGGCGTGTTGCCTCACAAGCTCGCGAGTGCACAGGAGGAACTGTACTTGATCTATTTGAAGATCGCCGGTCCGCATTGGCTTGTCGAGGTGGACCACACCTGCATCTGGTGTTCTGCCGCTAGAGTCAATGATCTTGTTCGTGGTGAAGAGAATGATCGCGTTTGCGGGGGTATCGCCGATAGTTGGGTTGAATAGAGTGATGTTTGGGCCTGAGTTACGGTGAGTATTGAGCTGGTTACGAGGTGCAACTCACCTGTCGTGTAAAGCGAGGACTTATTGTGTATTCCACCGTCGCCGCCAAGATCAAAAGCCCAAGAATCTCCCGAGGTCTTGTTGACAGAGCCCGGCAGGTACCCGCAGTTGATCTCGAAGCCAGTGGCCCAAACATTTGCAATGCCCAAAGGTAAGTCGGGATTAGCAGCGTGATTCACGGTCTCATATATAGACCCGTTGAATAGCCCCACTCGATGTGTCTCGTTTAAATTCGACATCCATGGGAAGAACGTTGCAGAAAACCCAACAAAAGCGCCGGCGCCACTGGACGAAATGAGCACAGATCGACAATAGATAAATGGACACACGGATTCTCCAGTGAAAGATTGGCGTAGTCGGGCAGTCCTAAAGTGGATACTATTCCCGAGAATTGTGTGCCATTGAAGCCAGCCACTGATACCAGCGCTGGCGTACTGATTTGAAGCATTGATATACCTCCCAGGTATAATGCGATCGCAAACGATGAGCCAACGGCTGCAGAAATCGTGCGTTGGCGGTAAATACTGAGGAGGGAGGAGCCAAGGCCACCCCAAGAGGCTATGTTGTCGTTAGTCGCTGTCAGAGTTTGTCGTGAATGGATGTTGAGGAGTGTCGCGAGCCGTTGCGTTACAAATACAGCGGCTGTAAGATAAATCTTATTGGGATGAGTAATAAGAGGGGCGAAATGTGTAAGGTGACGCACAATAGACCAACCCGTCAGCAGCGAAGTCACGAGGAACGCGATTATAGACTGTCGTGCAATGGGGAAAGCGATGCGGTGCTCAACGTGGTGAAGCGCAAGAGCAAGGAGAACGACGTGAGCTAGGACCAGCCCGATGTGGAGAATAATGGAAATGATGTTAGTCCAGCGAGCCCAGCTCCTCCGACGCGATTCCGGAGGCATTTGGGCTGCAGGAAGGTTTGAGTGAAAATTTACGACGGAATGCGCAAGTACGCACCAGAGGACGGCCCTGACAGCAAGGAGGTACTCGAATCGGAGGACTCAAGTGGCGGATAGGTGTGCCTCCCCTTGGCCATTCGCGTCGTCAGCCTTTTCCTGTTCCGTTCACGAATGCGAATGAAGGCGAAAGAAGAAGAGGGGTTCTTGTTACCCACGCTGTTAGGCCTGACAGCGCCAATCGATCACGCCATCAGCAACAGCCGCTGATGGTAACGCCATTTCCGGGCAGAACGGACAGTCTTTTGACTCACAAGATACATCGCCCTTCAAGTTGAATTGCCCTCACAAAGGTCAGTAATAACATTATTGATTAACAACGTCCATTGCTACAGTGAGAGTGAGGGAATTCGAAAGCTATCCGTTGCTGCCAGTGAAACAATTGTCTGTGGACTGTGGTTTAGTTACTTTAGTACTAGTATCGAAGGAGTGAAGGTTTGCACTTGAAGCTTGAAGCTTCGAGTAAAAGAAGTTCAAGGGAGTCTTGACATCTCACGAAACCTGGCTTGCGCTGCCTCTTCGATTGCCAATCGTCTCCCCATGAAATCATCGATATCCAGTCCTGGAACATCGAATCTCGGGCCCGAAGGTGGAGTCGGAGTTGTGAACGCTTTTCGGCTCTCAGGTTCAAGTTTCCAAGAAAGGTCGTCCATCTCCAAGCTGCTGTCCGCCATATGCATGGAGTTTCTGTCAGACTCTCCATCCGAGACAGCTTCGGGACCGATGGCCCTGGGCGAGCCAGGGGGAATCGCGGCCGGTAGCGACACCGTTTCGTTGGTCCACCGCTGGTCCAGCATTCTTGCCCATCGCTTATGGGTTTGTCTCCTTGGTTTGCGGGCTCGATGCCGACGGAAGAGGGAGCAGTAGCGAAGGATAATGTAGAGCATAATCACTGCTGCGACGCCCGATAGCCAGCCAATTATGCGCAAGTCGTAGGTTGAGACTAACTCAGGCGAGGCGTCTGAATCGGAGCCTGAAGGAGCGTTGGACGTCGAGGCTTCACGACCATTCAAGTGTTGGGTGAGGAGAGGCATCTACGATTGATTCATGAAATGCTGGAGCCAATCTTGTGCCAATCATACCCAGAGTATAAGTCCGAGGCGTGGCGAAGGCGACAGAAATTCTACTGAGCCCAAACCGGATCTACCGGTGAAAAAAGCTGACAAGAGGGAGAGGGAGAGGGAGAGAAATAGTAAGGGCCGTAGGTGCGTATCTTGTGTATAAATATCACTTGGAGGACAAAGGGCCTGTCGCGTTTATGAGATGGACGACCTGACATTCTTTGTCCGGACTCCAGCCAGTGGAATACATTCACGATCATAGGACTTGTGACTATTGACAAAGGGTTTGAGTGCGAGATTTTGCCACGTTTTCGTTTGGTTTGTGCCGAAATAGATCCTCTTGAAGTTTCTGCTTGCATGAGAAAACCTTCTGTCACTGCTGTGACAGAAACCCCCCCTTCACTCCTTCCGTGTCATGGTATCGGCCGACAACGTCCATCTGGATGTCCTAGAGCTCATCTTCGCGTACCTCTCTGGCTCTGACCTCGCGTCCATCGCGCTGGTCAGCCGCTCGTTTTTTGCCGGCGTCATTCCGCGACTTTACTCCACACTTCTCTTCCGCCTCACACACGCGAAGCGGTATATGAGTATCATCTCTCCGTTTGCTGCTGTCGCGCTACATCCAGAGCTTGGGGTCCATGTCAGGTATATTGGTGCGCCGCCCCTCTACTTCTGACCAGGAAGGCACACTGACAAATGGGCAGATATACGGACGGTTCCGATAGTCAAGTCACAATACCACCCCAAATTTCTCAAGGAAACCACATTAGCCCTTTCTCTCTGCCCCAACATAATCTCCTTCCGCTGCAGTACGCCTGCGTTACCGCCATTCATCAGCACCTTACAGTCGAAGGGCCGGCTTCGGGACCTGCGGATAAATGCAACGCTGACGAGCGAGCAGTCCACGATGCTGGTGAAGCTGGAGGGGATACGAAACCTTACGCTGGATTTTGCAAGCTGGAATCTGCTGAATATGTTACCCAAGTGGACGGGGTCACTGACTGGGTTGACGACATTGACACTATTTGTGCGTCTTTGCAACCTCTATTAAACCATCTAATCCGCCTCGCCAGATGGCACAAGAGCTCAATGATATTGTCCTCGAGTCAGTCGTCCAGCAGCTTCCAGCGTTGGTTGGTCTCCATGTGGTTGGCTGCTCCAAAGTCGACCATGTCGTCGTGCTTGGGTTGCTTTCGCACACACCAGACTTGCAAAGCCTTTCTATGACCACGGGGGTGCGCTATCATCTCCTTCCCATCACATTATAATCATTGGCTCGTACTTAGGAAGGCAATCGTATTCTTCCAACCCCACCTCCCCACCTCCCACATCTCCGTCATCTTGCACTGGACACCCGTCTCTCTGCGTCCCAGCCGCCAAGCACCACAGTTATATCCTCCATCCTTACTTACTTGTCCCCTCCCGGACTCGGCTCATTACCGGCCACAACGTCGACCTATACTTTCGACTTTTCCGCTCCGCCACCGACGCTTCCCCTTCCCTCGATGGGCCCACGCCTCGAATCATTCATTGTCAGATATCCCGACCGTCAGATGAGCATCCCTGCCACCCTCACCACTCAGCTCGCGGCAATGCATGGCTCGAGCCTCAGGAGTGTCAGCTTCATCGACTGTGTGCTTGGGGTCCACGACGCGTTACCGGCCCTTCTTAAGGGTTGTACCAAGCTCGAGCGGTTGGAGGTTGCGTTACCCATTCGGGACATGGTGAGCTCTTCGACCAATATCTGCTCCCAATCCTCAACAAACTAGACTATATTCACGGCGGCGATCGCCCATTCACGGACCCTCCGTGTTCTTGTCGACGTCGAGGCGCATTCGACTTCTGCACATAATCCACGCCCGTCCCTGACGCAAGACACCGTCCGGCATCTATTCGTCAGTGTGCCAACGTTAGGGAAAGTGGTTGTGGAGGGAACAAGGGTTTGGACGGTGCGTTGTTCATAGCTACCTTGCCCTGTTTGAGCTTCCTCACAAGCGCGGGAAACTTGCGATGGGACGGCTTGGCGTTTCGCTGGACCGCAAAATGAGCACGAGCGCGATGGCGGGGCGGATGGCTGGGACGGGGATGCATTGGTTTATGCCGCGGGAGGCGTAGCGCAAGATACTTGCCCTCGTATTTCTTGGACCTGAAAATTCTGACGACTTCTTCGGTTTCCTCCGGTCCTGCGTTCTTTTTTTCCACAGACGATCAGATCGACGGGTGATCGACGTGCTGTCCGGAAAATCGAGCGAGGACAGGGGCTTGTGACATGATCCGGAGCTGTGTCACGACAAGCCTTAGCCTGACGCTGCTGACGGACAACAGCTTACTTATTGTACAAGTGTGCATAACCATAAATATCCAGTCCGAGTCGAAATATCCTGGCGCTTCCGCATCCCAGCGGCCACCGACTTCGGATCCAGCTCCACTGGACAGCGCATCACCCGACGGGAAGCTCAGCCGCCGGTCTTGCGAACATCTGCGTGACACGGTAACCAAGCAACCATATAGTCGCCCTATTCCAACTTTTCATTGCACTGCGACGGCTAACCTTCCCGCCCGCATGTTCGCGGACCCCTGCCGGTGGTGAAACGCGGTTGGTCGGGGGTATAAAACGTGCAGCGGTGCCGTTCCTACGACATACGAGCCATGCCCCGACCCTCCGCCCTCCCCCTCTCCCTCGTGCTCTCCCTCGCAGGGGCCTACGTTATTGCGCAGGAGGCACCAGCTCCACCAACTTTCAACTGGACGAGCGTGCGTGTGTCCGTGTAACACGTTATGTTGTTGCTGACCCATCACCTAGGTGAAGGCCTGCAGTGAGCTTAAGTGGAAGCCATGCTACCTCCCCAACTTTGAGTGTGCGCGTCTGAACGTGCCGCTTGACTACTCCGCGCCTGACAAGGGCCCCGTCGCTATCGCGATGACCCGCTTCCGCTCCACTGCCGACGCCTCTGCCTATCGCGGCCCCATCCTGCTGAACCCGGGTGGGCCCGGCGGCAGTGGTGTTGAGTGGGTGCTGCAAGTGGGGCCCCAGATCGCAAAGGTGGCCGGGCCAGAGTTTGACATTGTTGGCTTCGACCCCCGTGGTGTCAGTCTTTCCGAGCCAACTGTTTCCTGGTTCGATAACGACGCGGAGCGCGTTGCTTGGATCCCGCCTGCCACCAACGCCGTCTATCACTCTGTCAACGCTTCCGCTGACGCGCTTGCTCGCTTCGCCGCGCGCACCCAGATCCAGGCCCAACTGGCAGTCGCGCGGGATACCAAGAACACACTTCAACACGTGACGACAGACAACACCGCGCGGGATATGCTCACGATCACGGAGAAGTTTGGATTTGAGAAGCTGCAGTTCTACGGCATCTCGTACGGTACCGTGCTCGGGGCGACATTTGCGTCGATGTTCCCCGACAAAGTTGGTCGCATTGCCATCGACGGTGTTGTCCCCATGGACGAGTACTACTCTGGCAAGTTTTTTTTCCTTGCAGCACTTCAATTGCTCATTTTCCTTGGGCTTCCAGCGCAAATGACCAACGCAGTACTAGACGCCGACAAGGCCCTCGATGCCTTCGCCTCATCGTGTTTCGAGGCCGGCCCAGAAGCGTGCGCCTTCCACAACAACGCGTCGTCGGCATCAGCGATCTCCGACGCCATCACTGCCCTCTTCACCTCTGTTCAGACCAACCCAGTCGCGGCCTTTGCTGCCCCCGCCGCCGGCGCGTATGGTATCGTCGACTACTCCTTCCTCAAGAACGTTTTCTTCCAAATCCTCTACCGCCCCTACGACCTCTTCCCCGTGCTCGCCGCCGGCCTCGCGAATCTTGCCGCTGGCAACGCATCGACGATCTACGCTGGGGCGATGCAGGGCGTTCAGCCGTTCACGTGCTCTGCTGACGCTGCCCCGCAGCCACACAGCTTCGAGAGCTTTGTCAGCATCATCTGCAACGACGCCGCGGCGCTCAACGACACGCTGCCCGAGCTCGAGGAGAACTACAAGGCGGGTGAGCGCAGCTCGCGCAACTTCGGCGACCTCATCGCGAACTGGCGTATGTTGTGCGCGTGAGTGTTCTTTCTTTACTTATTTGAGTCGCTTGCTTACGAATTTTTTGTGTAGCCCTTGGAAGGTGCACCGCGAGGGCCGCTTTTCCGGGCCGTTCGGCGCGGAGAAGACCGCCACGCCCCTGCTCGTCATCGGCAACACGGCCGACCACGTCACACCGCTCGCGGGTGCTGCCAAGACCGTCAGCTTCTTCCCGGGGTCGGCGCTCCTGACCTACGATGCTGTCGGGCACACCTCGACTATCGCCCCGTCGAACTGCGTGTACGGCGTGCTCGGCGCGTACTTCCGCGACGGGACGCTCCCCCCGAAGGACACCGTGTGCCAGCCGGATGTCAAGCTCTTCGGTCCCCCGCCCACTGAGCCGGCCCCGCCTGCCGCTTCTGGGGAGGCACGTCGTGAGGTCACCCGCCGGGGCCTCGGAGCCGGCATCACGGGCATGTGGGGCACGCGCTTCACGCTGTGAGGGACGAAAGGACTTGGGACTTCGCATGTCGCATTATTTATCGCATGGTACTCGCAACCACCCACAAAACCATACTTATCTTATCCTTGACTATCCTGATGTCTTTCCTTGGCTTCTACTAGTTACAAATTAATAGAACGGGCAACGAACTGTTTGTGTTGCCTCCACTGCATGCTGCACCCACATAAGAACACTCTAAGTACTCACTTCCGTCTTGTAATAGAAAAGAAAGAAGAAAACACTGGGGTCAGTGCTGACGCGGAGATTCGTCCGTGCACGCGGACCCACCACCAAAGTGTGGCAGTGTCAGCAGCCTTCCAGCAGATGTACCCACATAATTCTCGCGCCCCAACTGACAGCAAGCCTCAATCATTGTTACCCCAAACTCACAAATCCGCTGGAAGAATCAACGATTTGCTTGGTGCCAAAATGTCGTGCAAATATACCTAGTGTCATATTTTCTTGTAAATAAATTCTGTCTTGCAAAAATAATGTGTTCTTGGCATTAAAAAGTGTCACACTCCGTCGTCCGCACGCTCCACGGACACTCAGACAACCCTTTCATCCGGAACGGGGCCCAGTAGCACCGGCGCGGGTGGTTGCACGCGCTGCACAACGACAACGTCGCCCTCTTCTTCGTCGCTAATGGAATCCGGGCCCTCCCAGGCCCACCGCACTCGCTTCGGCGGCGTGATACTGCCCGCCCGCTTCATCGCCGGTGCTGGCTTTGTCGGAACCGACCGCTCGACCGGGTTTTTCGGCTCCGAGAGCACCGCAGGCTCGATAACGGTCACCTCCGACCCGTCCGATCCGCGCCGCCCCGCTGGAACTGTCTCGACAACGGGCATGCCCGCGGCTGCGGCCAGCATCATGCCGCGGATCTCCCGGACCGCCGCGCGCTCGGCCTGGCGACGCCGGCCCACCTCGGCCCGCTCCTTCGCCCGCGCACGCAACTTGCGTGTGTTCACCCAGTAGCACAGCAAGGTGCAACCAGCGAGCACGAATGCGCCAGCGATGCATTTGGTGAGGATGGGGAGGATGTTGATGGGTGCTGCAGTGGCAGGAGAGGGTGAGGGTGAAGGGGAGGCAGACGAGGGAAGGGAGGAATCGTAGTAGGCCGCGTGTACTGCGGGTGGGAGGGGGTTGATGAGTGTTGTGATGCTGTAGGATATATGAGTAAAGAGAAAAGAAAGAAATAACAACGCACAGAAAAGACCCCAGCGCCATGATACTGTTGTTGTCGCCGTCGAGCAGTCTGCTGAGCACCACAGTGTGGTTACCCTCTTCTAGTCGACCCCATGCGAGTTGAGCTTCTCCGACCACGGATACCAGGGGCTTGTCGTCGAGCCCGACCTGTATGGCGAGCTTACTGTGGAAGCCCTTGGGGAATGATATGTACGCCGCGATTCCTGGACTTGATGAGCCTCGGGTCAGTAGTAATCGGGAGGCACACCATGAAAGCTTAACACAACTTTCGCATTTTGGTCTAGACTTGTCGCCAACCCATCCTTTACAGTCCACGTCCCCGTAAACGCGAGCCGCGTGTCATGCAAGCCAACAGAGACGTTCGCCGGAACCCTGGCTGCGACAGCGATCGCCGTGTGCCAGGCGAAGACGAAGAGCCAGAGAGCTGTTTGCGTGAGGGAGGGCATAGCGCGGGGAAGGAGAGTCGCTGCCAGCGCGAGTGCGGTACTTATGTGCCAAACACAAAGAGGCTCCCTCTATACCAGCACCCCGTCAGTGCCAAAGCGTGTTGAGGCACCGCATCGCGGGCCCTTTGTCCACGTATCGATCTCGCGGGCGAGAAGCGTAGATCCCTTTCATCGACTAGTCCCCTCGGACCGCTGAGCCAGGATGTGCAGCGTACTGGTAAAAGGGTCGTCCTCTGGCGGGCACTCCGCTAGGACGAGTGCCCCGCAACGGATTGGGCTTTGCCGTATCGTTGGTTGTCGTGGTGGTCGTCAAACAAGTCGTCAAAAGCAAAATAAAACAGGTTATCCGCACCCAGGCTGTCAATCACGTCATGTCGGGCCTTACCTCCTCCGCCCACACATGGCGCACAATTGGTCGCCAACAAAGGGAACCTCTGCGAGGCTGCAATATGAGCGCTGAGTCGTGACTCCGGGTCGGAGGACAATGGGCACCCTCAGAGTAAAAAACTGCCAATCAATCATTGATACTATCATTGCACAGCATTCGTCAGCCGCCACATCTTTTCTTCCTCCCAAATGACGCCGTGCGGTTGCGCCTCCCTGGCTGCAAAACCCACATCTAGTCAAGTCAGTCTCCGCCGAGGTTCTCTGAGTCCTGCCCCGCCCGGTCCTTTGGTGTCAGCAAATGCAATTCAAGTTCAAGAATCAAGACTATCCATTGTGCATTCAATGCACCGCCGGTGTGCCATGGACATTGAGCTGAAGTTATGCTGTAAATGCGCTCTTGTCTCGTCCTCATATGGACGTCAATATCCCACAAGGTCTGCACCCGCGATAACTCGTCAGTGCGGAGATTGCTGCTTTGGGTACAAAGGCTGGTCGTCAAGCACTGGCATCTTCGCCCTGTCCTCGCGCCATTGGCAAATCGCAAAGTGCTCTCAAGGCCTCCTGGCTTGTCCATCTAAGCCCCGCTAGTCTCAATATACCACCGAATGGACTCAATAGAGGCTCCCTCGACGATTTGCGTGGCTAACACACTACTAATACACTGGACCCGTTGGGGCATTATGGCAGCATGAGCGCCGTGCCGTACTGATTTGTGTTGCTCCATGGACCTCTGAGAAGCCATTCACACAGCATGTGTTGATTCGCCCCCGATTCTGCGCTCTTTCTGCCCCAAAACAGCGCAACTACCGGCCAACTGCTCTCCTTTTCGTCAAGACCTTGGTGGATCCTTTCAAAGCGCACTCTATCAATCATCCCTTCCATTTTTCGAACATTCTGAAAGGTGAGACTCTTACACACGAGTCAGGCAGGCCGGAGGACGTTGATGGCGATGTGGGCAGGGTCATAGCGCAACTTTCAAGGTCATATTTAAGAACGGGAATGGCGGGGGATAACGATGTCGGTGCATGCAAGCAACAAACAGCGCCGTGCCAACGTCTCCTTCCCTCTCCTTCCAAGTCCTCCCTGACAGTCTCGACCTGGCCCAACATCCCTCCATCAAGAAGCCACTCCGGAAAGCGTTGCATGATTGGCTCTACCAGCGCCAGGCAGATCTCCTCTCCAATCTGTTTGCTCAAGAGGGCGACATTAGTCTACCCTGGACGTTCCCGTTCCACCACACCGCTCATCCGATCGACCTCGTCGTGCATTCATCTTCGGGGCTTATGGCAGCCAGTGGCACCCTAGAATATGACGCGTCAAATCCCACAATGCTTCGGTGGACCGTCAAATTCTGTTAGTCCATTCATCCCTTGTTCCAAATCCGGCAATTGACGCGCCTTTGATTAGATGGACAAGGTCTTGCTACGTTCATTTACCCCCGCCCACCCCAGGACGTGTACGCGCCACTACCCGAACCGGGCTTTAACCTCAGCGCCGATCTCGTGCTCAACGCGCTCCGCCGGTCGGTCTCTGCCGGACATGCGGTATTCGTCCAAAGCGATCGTGCGTGGTATAGCGCCAACGTCGACTTGAACGATGCCGCTGCTCAGGCGGCACCCCCAGGACCGTGGACCCGCCCCTTCGAGAATTTCTGGCTACGCGTCCCCGCTCTTCGAGGCACGCCATCGCAGAATGAATTCGAGCGTTTCATCGTCCGAAGACGCATCTAATAGCGATGGTTGAATTCGCCCTTGACCTTTTCCGCCCCATTCGCTTCCCCTTGCTTTCTACTTGCTTCATTGCTGTCGGACCTTTGCTATCCCAGTCGTCGCTCTTGCTCTGAACAATGTTAACGTAATGTACATTATCTGCTGCTCCTTACCTGTATTGTAGTCGAAATAGAGCTTTGTGATCTGTAAAGACAGTGTGCTATGCTCGAGCCAGAACGTCTTCTAAGGTGTACATAAGTCTAATTGTTCTCAAATGAGCCAAATCGCAGCCATGTCAACAAGACCCTCCATTTTGGGTAGAATGACACGGCCCGGGAGCCGTTCATTTGAGTACGATATATATGAGACCCTCTTCATCACAGTGCGGTACGCCGAGCCCAACAAAAATAAACATCGAATATCGCAGCATAGTCAGCTGTGTTGACGGCGGAGAGATATGCCTCCAATACATCGTCCGTGAAACCGTAGTTACCACCCTGGCGGGCAATGAGCAGCCCTGCCGCATGGATATCGGTGTTGCGCATGCCGCGGGCAAACGCGCGCATTGCGTCGTCTGTAAAGCGTCGGAATGCGACAAAAATTGAAATGGAGAAACACACTGTAATCATCGAGTTGGACACCCAGGGGCACGGCTGCCTTGTGTTCGTGAGCCGGGCTACCAAACCCGTCTAGATTTTCCATGATTTGCTTCAGATTGCGGCCTATATCTGGCTCCTGGTCGTGCTCGCGGTACATCGCGACATAGAGCTCGGTGAAGCGTGCGGCGGCTGGTGGGGACGTCCACAGTAGGCTTTCGCTGTCGAAGTCCTCGAGAAGCAAGAACCCACGCGGGGCAACGAGCGATGCAATGCGGGCGAGAGTTTCGCGCGGCTTGGCGACCTGAAAAGACAGCTGAGACGACGACCGGGCAGCATTAAGAACAGCGGACGTGGCCAAAGACGAAACGCGAATGAACGATGTCAAACGAGTGTGGAGCGAATGGGAGCTCCTTCGTGATGTCAAGCTGGATGAACTCGAAGTTGGATGGCACGGGACGGTCGGGAAACGGCGAGAGGTCGACAGCGACGACATGTGCCGCGGGAAGCTCTTCCGCTGCTTGGATAGCCCTGCGATATATGAAGTTAGGCCGTTGCTGTAAACTTGAAGCGGCGATAGACACACCAGGCACCGCTCCCACACCCGAGCTCCAAGATTCGTTGTGGGGGTGCGTCCATTTCTTCCAGCGGCGCAA